ATGACTCAATCCCCAAGCCTTCAACTCTTCCTTCTCCCAACATGGGAGCAAGCTTTGTCTTTACTGGTTTCCCTGCTGTGGACCTTGGAAAGAATACCTATTTGTTTTCCTTCCTGATCTTCTACCTTAGCTGCCTTACCCACCTGCAGCTCCTGGCTCCCTAGGACTCCGTTATCAGCTCACAGATGGGTCATCCAGAACCACAATCACCAGGACCCATTGAATCAACTGAATTTAAGTGGGCCTGGCCTTTTCTGCTCTTCAATAGTTCTGCTGTTCTTTCCCCTACAGAATTTTCCAAAGCAGTCATTTTAAGCCTTTCCCATTCTTCTTAAGTCTAGAACTCCACCCGGATTTCTTAAATGTTTATACTGACCATGAAGACTGAACCCATCTGTATGCACTGTCACCTATTTCCCTTCATTATACTGAAATTTTCTGTGTGGTTGCTTCCTTTTAACTGCCCTACTGTCTCAAATTAAGCAACTTTCTACTCTCTTACCTGTACTCTTCCTTCCTTTGCTCTCTTCGAAGATCCTCTTTCTGGTCTTCTTTTACCATCTTTTTATATTTGCACAAAAAGCAGCAGCACCTCTATCTGAGTTTTCTTCTTTCATGACCAGACCAAGAAAAGGTAGTTTACACTCACAGCCCCCATCTCCACGGTTCAATTCCTTTTCCCCTCCTTAACCTCCACTGTTCTTCTGAAATGCTCTCAAAAGTCCTTCCCATTACCAAATCCGATGGCTTTTTTTTTTTGGCCTGCATCCTTCTCGACAATTCTGTGGCACCTCAGACTCAGCAAAAGCAAAACTGAACGTAGTATTTCTCTTTTTTGTTACTACCATTGCTGACTGCTTCCTTATTTCTTCCATTTAAGCCAAGACCTCATTACCACTGCCCCAACTTTAGCCATCAAGTCCCTGTCTATTTCATGCAGTCCCTCTCTCTGCAGTCCCCTGACAGACTGCATTCTTCTCTCAACACAAGTCAACATGGTGCACCCTGAAGTCTGTTTTTTGCTAAAGTATGCTTTCTAGATCCTCAACTGTCTAATAAAGAAATTTCAATTTTTTATCCTAAGAATTAAGGTCTTCTAAGAATTGGCTCAGACCTATAAATTATAGGCTTCATTATTTTCTCTTCTTCCATTTCATTTCATGTATTTCACATTTCCTCTGAACCCTGGCAGAATTCACAGTCCCCATAATACACCCTGCTCCTCTCACCTGCTGCCCGAGACAGGTCAGTCCATCTACTTGCAATGTTCAATATCGTCTTTACTCATTGAAATCCTATTATCATTTTCAAAGATGCCATCATCCCTCTCTCCTGTAAGCTGAAAGTTATCTGTTCTTTCTCTGAACTTCCACTATTGCAGTATGCCCATCTCTTTGTTTCTCACTCTGTTCTCATGTCTTTTATATTGCGACTGCCTGTGAACTTAGCTTATTGTTCTTACTGGATTGTAAGTTCTTGGAAACGGTGATGATGAGGATAACAAGTATCACAATAACATCTGTCACAACAGACTCCTACCAATTCCAGCTCTGTGCAAAGCACATATTTTCATCACCCCAGAAACTCCATGAAGACAGTTCCCATTTTCAGATTTGATTAAGGAAAGTGCCCAAGGCTGACACCTAGGAAGTGGCAGAGCCAAAAACCTGACTTAACCTGACCTTAGCCTTGTCAGATTTCAAAAGTCATGTTCTTATTCATCCATAGACTCAGCTGAGAACCACCGAGAACCCCTTAAGTCCTAACAGGTGGAACAGTTTACTTAGCCTAGTTCCCCAGGGTTGCTGGGCCTGCTGGGTCAATACAGACATCTACTGGGAGAAGAAATAGCTTAGACTCTTTCTATTAAGGGATGAAAATAGGACCAAGTCTTTGCGCCTACAGATTAAACAGAATATCAAATGCAAAAGCTCTAACTCACCTGGATTAGGTAATAACCTAACTTTGTCTCTTTCCTTAGAACCATCAAGGTCAGTAAGACAATAAATCAAGGCCACGCCAAAAAGTCTTACTTAGATAATTTAAACCACATTTAGACAGAGCCTCCAGTAATTCTGGTTTCTGAAGCTCTGACATCAGCCCTGTGAAAACATGATAATTGTACCATGCTGACAGAGTCAAAATCAATGCAAATTTAGCATCCTACTTTACATATGAACAGGCAAAATAATATATGGCACACATAGGTATCCATGTAAAGGAAGTGGTGGCTGTCTCTACATAAGCGGCTAAGGGCTGTAATCCTCTGAGAGGAATGTCATTATACTTTCCAAATCCCATCGCAACAAATACCTTTACAACAGAGATGTCTGTATAACAAAAACCCTTTCAAGCTCTGGCTGACAGCCCACGTATTTCAAGCAATATTTGATGTGAGACTTGGAGTTCACAGTAATGGGAATTGACCTGTATTTCCAAAAGGTAAGATTTGAATGATTTCATCTGTAGCTCCTATCCCAGGATACCCTGGGTTGGAACCCATGAGTACAAAAACTCAACACAAAGAAATGAAATCAACCCCACTCCGAAAAGGCGAAATTCCTTCAGTTCATCTGGGGTAAGGAGGCCTCTGACCCAAGCCCTAAAATGGACCCCACTGCTAGGAAAAATGGGATCGTCCGTGAAGACTGATGGACTATGTTCAAATCTCCACTCCATCTCATGAGATGAGGAAACTGGTCTACAATTCTAAACGCTTTTGAGCCTCATGCTCCTTGGCTATAAAACGTGAGGAAGATCACTCATGCTCAGGATTTCAATAAAACCTATATGACAGCATACATGAGAAGCTCCTGACAGAGGGCCTGATACAAACATAGCACATGCTCAAAAAAGTTAGTTCTCTCATCAGGTTTCTTCCTCTACAAGACCTTGGGCTAATACAAACCATTTTCATGAAATCAGCTAGAAGACATAGTGAGTGGAAGTTAACCAAACGTACAGTCTAAACACAGGCTGAGTAAAAGTGTTGCTTAGAAGAACGCCAGGCAAAATGGCAGAATGACTAGACCACACACAAGTATTTACCTGACTAGAAAACAAGGTTGTCTGGGCCAAGGTGAGACTTGTGTACCTGAAGGCTAAAAAGCAACTAACCAGGCAGCGTTAACAATAAACGAGCTGCTTATTTTGTCTGAGGTCATTTTGAAAATTGCTGATAACCCAAAATTCAGAGTCACGTTTTCCTAGTCAAGGACGAGCTGTGGCTGCTGTTCTGGCCTAGTTTTCTTTGGGTGCTATTCTAGGTGACGGGAGGGCCCTTATTTGGGGACTCCCTGGCTCTATCCTGTACATTACACCCTCTCTCCTCAGTAGGATACTATGAAAGTATTAAAACAAACTGTTTTCTCCATTTGGGAAACATGTACGTAAATAGCTTCAGAATATATTTACTAAAAGTGTTCAGTGTTGTTCTAATTTATGAGGTTTTTATTTCTATTGATTTTCAGATATCTGATTTTCTGCTTTTCAAATTACAGGTCAATGAACTTGGAAGTTTGTGGTGACAAAATTCCATGTCCCCCCCCCTCTGCCCCCAGGGGGTGATGGTGGGGGTTTGGTATTGGGAATTTGATCCCAGGGTCTCAAACATACTAGGCCAGTACTCTACCACTGAGTTATATCCCCAGCCCTACCATGGTCTTTTAAAAACAACTTGGGATTATATGTTTTGAAATAGAAAACTATCATCTTATGAACATAATCTGAAGGCAAGTCTGCTCACCTTTATAAAATAAGTAGGGACTTTTAAATACCTTACAAAGCTCCCCAAAACCCCATTAGACCTAGGGAACTATCAAGAACAAGAGATGTCCCAATATTTCTCAAAGGATGTTAGTCTTAAAGATTACTTACTCTGATAATTTCACGTTGCCAATAAGGAAAGAGCTCACAGAAAAGTATATACCAATATTCATGTGCCCAGGTAAAGTATATACAGACCAAGTAATGAGATTTCTCTTCCGAGATGCAACAGAAAAATAAAACAACAGCTGGACAGAAGTACGGAGGCATAGAGAACAAACTGCGAGATCTACAGGACAGAGAAGCCCTAAGTGGAGAGGTTGGGAGATCAACAACAGAGAAAGAACAAAATTACTAAGGAAGAAGGTTAAACAGCAACAGAGACCAAGTGGCAGCAGAGAGATGTTTTAAATTCAGCTCTGCGCAGAGCTTACAAAGTAGGACCTGAATACACAGAAGCATCCACCTGCTACAGTGGCTTCTGGCCTCTATTTTAATATCTGCAACCTCCATCCCATCACCATTATCTTAAAATGGAGGCAGCAACAACCACCAGATTGTACACTTTAATCCTACCACTGATAAGGGCGTAAACCTCAAGCTTTGTGGAAGGTGTGCTAACTATCTTAAGCCACTAGGGCGCTACTCCCTGGTTCCAAAAAGCACACTTAATGATTTCCACCTAAGCCCCAAAGCATGGATGTCTCTCCTAAAAGTGAACCCTTTCTTCTCTGCACCAGGGCATTGCTCTAACAGTTGACAAGGCATTTCAAGGTCCCCCCGGGCTGTGGCAAAGTGAAATACAATTGTAATTACACAAGAAACCAAGGAAAGGTAGCACAGAAAGAGTTAGCTCCTGAAATACAAGGCTGAGAAACACTATTCCTCAGAGAAGCTGCCACCCCGCCCAAGAAGAGCCCGTGCTGCCTCGAAAGTGACCTCAAGGGAGCAATCAGGTGCCCGGACAGAGGCGCAAGCAGCTTTCAGGCCCTCCCTCCCGCATCCCACCTGTCCCAGCGGGCGGGCGGGAGTGGGGGGAGGAGCCGGGAGGAGCAGCCGGAGCACAAGGGCTGCCAGCACCAGCTGCTCCCAGCCCGCCCTCCCTCCCTGCTGCCCTCCCTCCTGCAGGCGAGGGCTCTGGGTAGCCGTGGCCCGCCCAAGATGCCCGCGACACCCGCGACGCCCATCTGGGCACCTGGGAGACCCCTGCCCCGGGAGCCCCGAGCTGTCTGTACCTTTACTCTGGGGAGGGTTCTGACTCCGGTCCCGGAGGACGTTGATCTGGTAGACGGCTCCATAAGGCTCAAAAAGTTCTTTCAGCTCCTTTTCCGACCACGACCGGGGGATCTGTCCGACAAACATCTTAATGGCATCTGGGTCTGGTTGGTCTGAGTGATCCAAAGCTCCGTTCATCTTGTTGGCTGTGCCGTTACTGTCAAAAACGGAACCGGGAGCCAGAGTTAGGGCTGCAGGGTGAGGGACAGGAAGAAAAAAAATAGTAGGGGTGGGGGTTGGGGAGGCGGAAGGAGGAGGGAGAGGAGCACGAGGAAAGTGCCTAATGAGTCGTAGCAATTTGATGAACTAAAACAAAGCAGAGGCACCATTAGGTTGCTCCTCGGCAGCGGCACGGGGCTTTCACTGCGTGCTGCTGTTCAGCATCGCCGCCGGAGCACAGGGCAGCGCCCCGCTGCCTGTCACCCAGGGCGTGGACATCTCGGAACCCGGGTTTGGGAGGCAGCTGCAAGTTAACTGCAGGTCTCAATCTGCAAGGCTGCCATCAATGCACCGGCAGTGTTATCTGCTCAGCACTGGCTGGGAGAGAAAGGCAGGGCTGGATTTCTGCTGGATTTCTCTTCCTCTCCCCCACTCCCCGCCCTCTTTTGGAGGTTTTTTGGAAGAGAGGAGAGAGGTGGTAATAATAAAGTCACATGGATAGAAAATGAAACACTTGGCAGTCCGTCAGATGACTAATGCAAGATGCTAGTGATGAATTTGCAGAGTGCGCGAGGCATCCATGTGTGCATCAAATTAGTACGTTGTTGCTGCTAGGAATGGAAAGCGCTCCAGCAAAGCAGCTCTGCGCAGCTGATTGGCTGCCCACACCGGAGAAAAGGGCCAGAGCTGGGAGGGGGCTGCCCCTTTAAAAAGCACATTGTTTATGGGACCCAGGCACAAAGGGTTTAATTCAGACAGGCAAAGAGATCTCAGAATTGCCGGCTTTGTGCTGGGGGAAAAAATGCAGCCCCAGAAAGTTGAGTTCCCACTAAAGGACACTGAATATTTCAAATCTTTCACACTCCATAAATTGCTCTCTGTATATCTGACTTCCAGATGTTGCACTTAAGTTCTAAACAATCACACGTTTGGGAGAGCAGGGAGTAAAAAAAAAAAAAAAAAAGGAAGTCTGTCTTTTCTTCTCCAAGCTTCAGTAAATATTTGGGGCTGATACAAAGAACAAAACCATAAGCTTTCACATATCAGTCTTCCTCATGTTGCTTCCCAAACCCCCATTTGGAAGAGACTGGATCCTTTCAAACCTGCAATTCTGGCCATCACCATGCAATACAATAAAGATGTTCCTTTTTGACTTGGACCCCCCACACCAATTTGAGCTAGAGTAAATAACAAAGCAAAATCGCATACCCTTTTCTTTTCTGTCCCGCCTACCCCCTGACATGGCTCCTATGCCAGCTACTCTGCCAAGTGAGAAGACTGACTCTCAGCAGCACTCAGAGCAGAGCTGTGCTCTTGGTCTAGGTTCTCAGCCTATGAAAATACAACATACAAGAACAGGTGCAAACCCAGCAGACACCATATCTACAGAGCCTGGTCCATGACTACCCCCAGCCCAGAAGCTGAAAGATCAGGAAGGGGACACGTAGACTCCAACTAAACTGCAAATGGCAGGTGTGAGTTCACTGTACCCTCAGGGAAAGAGTAAGAAGGTACTGAAAGATCTTAAGCAGAGTTTCTTATTTTGTTATAATAAGAAAAAAAAAGAGTACTTTAAATCTGCTGCGGATTTAGGTTAGTCTTGAGCCCTTATAAAACAGAAGGAGAAGAAAAGCAACACTAACAGTTAAAAGACCCAAACCTTATGGAAAGGAGAAATCCTCAATTAGATTTAACAGAGAGAGAAAAATGATGTCAAAATACTCTTCACTAGGTCTTGACTTCAATTTCTACTTCTTAGCCTTCTATTTTACCATTTTATTTATTTATTTTTTATCCTGGAGATAAACAATCAGACTGTCTAACTTGAAGCATTTTTCAGAGCTTCCTCTAATCAACTTTATTGTTATAAAAAATGTTCTGCTGAATAAAATATTGAGTACAAAATCTTCTTTCAACAATTTAGGTGTAATGTAATGCTTGTTTATATTGGAGCTAGGTCGTTTATCTTGTTCTTATGCACCTATACTTCTTTTCCAATCACTCTTTGAGAATTCAACAAACACTTTAACCCTGTGGAGCCATGACTGCAGAGGGGTAGAGGTGGCAGAGCCGCGGGCAGCACAGAATGGAGTGTTCACAGCATGCTGAAAGCGAGGAGTGTGGCAAGGCTTATTTCTGGGACAGGAAGAACTCGTGGTTATTGCTGTTGACAACCAGCTAGAATGCAAAGAGGAAGGCAATGCCACAGGTCTCAGCTAACAGAAACCGGAAGTTCAAAAATGGGACTATTGCAACTTATCTGTACAGACCACAATTAATATAACGAAGGAGTCAGGTGGCAGTTTTCTTGTCCGATATCTAAACTTTGATTTCTAAAGCAAACATTCCTCGATGCTTCTCCAAATATGTGGCCTTTTACATTTTCTCAAAATACATAACTTTATCCAAGACCCTTAAAGGAAGGAAAGCTGAGATGAGGGCTCAAGTCTTGCACAAACTCTGATGTTTATGTAGGTAAGTGTGTATTTTATCATCTCTGTCAGAGGGCTGCCTGGAGATTTTTTATCTTCCTGAGGCAGTATACTGCAGTGGCTAAGGGCACGGCCTCCGATTGCTGGGACTACCACTTCCTAATTGTGCTACTCTGGGCCTCAGACCCTTCATCTACAAAACGGGAAGAACAGATTTCATCTCACAGAGTCACAGAACACAGCACAGAATAAGTGCTTTATAAATGTCAGCTATTTCTACTGTGAATTCCTTCTTTGTGGAAGCATTTGAAACGAGTGACTTTTCAATCCTAAATTTTCACAATATAGATCCAAACACAATACATATTGAAAGTAAGAATAATATGTTATTTTTATATACCAAACACGGTGCGAGGTACTTGATGATTTTAATTTTTCTAGCAACTCTCAGAGAAAGTATATTTTTCAGTTGCCAATAACCAAGAAGTAAGTTCCTCTCCAAAGTTGACTAGCTTATAAATTGTAGAGCTAGAATTCAAACCTATGTCCACTGGGTCCCAAAGAGCAAAATATTTCTAATCCACCATGTGGCAAAATATTCTATTCTGCCTGGCTTGTGTTGAGAGTAAACAGCTCGTGGCAAATCCATGGGAAGAATAAACCAAGAGCGAGTCCTACCAGGTCCCTGGAATTGCTGCAGAACAAGAGGCAGTCTAAAATGGGCATATGTGCCTTTGTTCTCCCTCTGTGAAAGATGGTAGAAGGTGCCAAATTTAAGGGTCCTTTATGTTACTTTAAAACTCTGGTTTATCCAATCAGCACATAAAGATGTCTCTCATCTCCACGGGTCCCCTTCCTCTCTACTCCCACACAGTCAAACTCATGAGCATCTCCCATCCAAATCTATGTTCTTTCCTGTTTGCCTTTTGGCAAATAACTATTCCAAAGATTTACACCAAGTGCTCAAGGCAGGGCAGTGCCGTAAGTAAATCCAGCCATGATTGTTGTCCAGATAAATTAAAACCACCACCACACCCTCCCTATCAGAAGCTGTCACTTGGAATTGGTAGTCATATCCCACTGTTACTGAATCCCCTACCCTGAATTCTGCCTGTATTTCAACAGTCTGGTTAATTCTGCTCTAATCTACCTATGCTCCTCCTCCCAGGGACTCAGGTTTCCTGGCTGATGCTCATTTCTAGTGGAGACTCACTGACTTCTTTTGTCCTCATGGGGGTATGGTACAGAAACTTCTAAGCAAGATAGAAATTATGTGTTTCATAGCAAAACCTTTGGGAGTATTTGCCAGAGCCCACAAAGAGGTGATTCTTCATGGACAAGTAATTTTGGGAACAGATACCCTAAATCTCAAAAAGATCCCCAGTCAGACCTCTACCTACAAGAATCTAATTGGCTTAGAAAATTAATACTAACTCACTTCTCATCACTCCTTAGCCATCCTTATCATCCAGCCCAGTGCTTTTTATGGTGCAGAAATGCAGACTGAGCGACGCGAGAGGCTGAGGCAGCAGGATTGTGAGTTCAAAACCAGCCTCAGCAACTTAGGGAGGCACTTAGTAACTCAGGGAGACCCTGTCTCTAAATAAAATATAAAAAAGTGCTGGGATGTGGCTCAGTAGTTAAGTGCCCCTGGGTTCAATCCTGATACCAAAAAAAAAAAAAAAAAAGAAAGAAAATAAATGTAGATTGAAATTCAACTTAATACTTATCAATAGCCTACTCTTTGCCATGTACTTGACATACAATGATCACAACAGTTCCAGTTGGAATCATCTTCATTTTAGGGATGAAGGAACTGGGAGTCACAGAGATACTGTGCCTTTTCCAATGTCACACCCTTAACAAAAAGTGACTGCAGAACATGGGTGGAGAAAGATTTAAAAGCCAGTCACCATTCCCTACTATTCCAGGAACTGGGATTCTCTAGCGGGATGTTTCCTAGGGACTTGGTGACCACTCATGGGCCCTGGACACAGACACCTACACCTCTGCTGGCACCTTGCCTGTAAATTGCAACATGATCCCGAGTGCCAATTCTGCTTCTGTTCTCGGCAAGGAGCCAGCTATAAGGCTCCACTAGGACAGATGCCACACGGAACTGGACGACGTGTCAGAGAGCACAAAGCCAGTGGGTATTGTTGGTATCGGTCTCAGAGCCAAGATGAAAATATGATGATGTTGGGGAAAATGAGCTTACTTTTGCTTTTAGCAGTGCACTGACCTACTTCCCTACTCTATTTTCTAGTAAAAAGAACTAGATCAATAGAGGATATGCAAATCTTCTGAGGTCCCTCTCAAGAAGTGAAATTAAAAAATAATAATTGATTCAACACATTATTATTATGCATTCCAGGACAATAACTTTTTATAAGGCCTAGTGATTTGTAGGTTTCCTTTTGGAGAATGGTAACAAGAAAATTGAGATTTCTCATCTTTCATCTTGTCCTTGGATAACTTTCTGTGTTGTATTTCCTTTATCTATACAAGGGCAAGAGCAACAAACTTGCAAAATGGCTGAGAAGTGCCAACTGGCCATAAATGATTA